TTTTCGCTGAAAAATACATTCCAGTATTTTCCGGTACGATTTACATGTTTGCGTTCAAAATGCGACCAATCTTGTATTTCTCGGCACATGATTTTCCATTCGGCTTGTTGTAGAAGCGTACAGAGGGGTGCGAACGAGCACTTCGGTACTTTTCCACGAGGCGATGTGGATGTGGAGATAGGCGTTAATGAAACCACGGTGAGCATGGAATTTTTGCCGAATCATATCGTCGAGCGAGTTGGAAAATCACCGGCGATGTTTGCGACGCGCTGGCGGTTGAATCCGCTCTGTCGGATCGATCTCTCGCCGCTTAATCTGCACGCTGGCCCGGAAAACAGTCCGGTTAATTATACAGAGTTTCGTCAGCAATTAGAAAAGTTCTCTACAGGCACCATACTAATTACACCGATTATCTGATCGCGATGTACCGCAGTGTGAAGCCGCATGAAACAAATCGATTCTCTTTAAGTTAATTAGAAGAACCTTTCTGAAAAAAAACTTTAAAGAAGAAATAACAGAGAAAATCACATAAGTTAATCGCATTTGTTGTAAGCTAATCATGAACACGAATTCGATTAGATAAAAAGAATTAAATTATCTTGATTAAAAAATCGTTATGTTACATTAAAGAAATTAATATTATGAGAACTATATTTTTTTCATTTTTAAACTGAGAATCTTTCTGTATTAATAAAATAAGGACATATTTTTTATACAATCTCATCAAATTGATAAAAGTGATAATAAGGTAGTATTTATTTCGATACGTTAATTTCTGCTCATCGGCAATCAATCGTCGAGCGAGCCCGCAGGGGTTGCCGTTATTGCCGTGCATTTATGCATAACGCGCACGACCAATCGTTTGAGGAACGAAATTTGCGCGCATCGACGCCGGAATCCCAGCCAGGCGATTTAAAAATAGACCTATTCGAAGGCGAAATTTGTTTCCTGCCGTCGCGCGCGACTCGCTCGGCCTTAATTGCACTTTCATCGATCGCGATTCGCGCGCAGTTAATTACGGATCGCCGACGGCTTTCCAATCCGTCGGATTCGTTTAGCGTGATCCATTTCGCGAACGCGTATCTCTCCTCTTTCTCACAGTGCAGTTTTGAGAGAATTTTGAACGAGATATCGACGGAGCATGTGAAAATAAATAATTCTTGGTTCGCTAAACCGAGATCTTTCATATATATTTAATAGTTGTTTATTCAATTTTTCGTCTTCTCCACACTTCTCCCCGATTAATCTATTCCACTATTACAAAATGGAATTTTTCCATTTTACTTATATTATGCATGGAAAGATAAACGACATATAATATGAAATTATAGTGTACAACGATAATCGAGGATTAATTACTATTTTAAGTAATTAAAAAATATTCACTCACCCTCCCGCTACTGTCGACCACGTTGACGTCCATGCCTTTCAGGCCTACTTTTCGGGCCTGTGCGACAATTTCCTTCAGACCTATGTCGTCTGCCTCTCTGGCGGCCCTCAGAAGGGCCGTAGGGCCCCCGGAGGGTATTTCCCACGAAGGCGGCACTTTTGCTTTAATTGTCTCTTCACGCACGCGGTCTGCAAAATTTATATTTGCCTCTTAGCCGCTGGCTTCTAAATATCTCGACCGTAGATAAGCTTTATTAGATTATTTGCGCAATACTAAATAATATATCAGACTTTACTACTAATAATTTTACTTTACACTCCGGATCACAGTTTGAAATCGGCATGTTACTTTAAAATTGCAAACGACACTCTGCAGCTTCTACAGATCAATTTGTATCGGCAATTTGTCGCAGTTTATTAAAGCGGCGTTATTGTCAAGTCTAAAAGCTTTTCCGCATTGATCCGCGATGCGACTGGAACGAACCCGTTTATCGAAATTCAAATATTCTACTTATCAGTTAGTGTACTTTATCGCGGCATATGTCACGCGACAGGATCAATTCCGAGGCGTTAATAAGCGACGCGACGCGTGTCAACCCGAAGAGTGTCATGCAAACAAAAAATCTCGACAAATCGTCGCTGCTTACGTAATGGTAAAGATCTGAATATCTGCATCGCGTTGTTACATAAGACAATATCGGACTTCAGGAAGTACATAACTCGGCGAGTTTAACTGTTTGATAAAAGAACAGTGAATGAGAAAAAACGTATTGAAAATATACTCTACTATTAAAAATAGACACTACTATCTTCCCTCAATAAAAATTAAATCAAGATTTTAATCTGAATATTAAATTAATCAAATTTGCACATTTATTAGAGTAGAATTGAACGTCAGTCATGCGAAACTCACCTTGAAGCACACCCTTGCGGTAGATCTTGGCCTCGTGGACAACAGGCTTGCGATACGGCGTGCGTTTCTCCGCGAAGCTGGTGTCGGAGCTGAAAGAGACGGATTTCTTTACGCCGACGCCTTTCTTCTTCCAACTCGTCGACAGCGTCTGAACGCTGGTCGACTGCTGTAGCGGACGCAGTTGTCGCGCGTTGTCACTCGTTAGGATCGAGAAGTAGCCTTTCAGACCAGAGTACCGCGTGGACGAGGAACTGCGGAACTCATAACCGTTGGAGCCAAGGAACTTGGCCGACTCGCCGTACCTCTCGGCGAGATCGCTGGAGGGATGATGCGCTAGATTTACCAGGAAGGCGGAAGACCTCTTCAGAATGCCCTCCTCCGGCACCCGCTGCAGCGTTCTCTCCCGCGCTGGAAGACCTGCCACGAGTCACAGTTCTATATTCAGCCGGTGTCACTTTCCGCGGTGTTCCTCGCCGTTCGCCGGCCTAAATAGACGCATCTAACGGCACATGCAGATGTTCGCATTGCCGTAGAAATACTCCACGCGAGTATGCTTTCGCACTATCGTGCAGATCGCGTGAGACTTATGGAACTTCGCGCGTCATTAGGATCGATAAAAAGTTTATTTATTTTGTTTCGTTCCAGCCGGAGCCGATAGTTACGACGGGCATGACCCCGCGTGACTTGTTTGTTCCGACAGAAATTCCAATTGTATAAATAGAAATAAAGTGTTCCTCCAAAAGCACAAATTATTGCATGGCAAGAAATGCAAATTTATAACAACGGATGATATTTAGTTTATCTTATTCGACATCGAGTTTATTTTTACAGCGTATATGGTTTTACTTCGATAACAGGTTTATTGTGTTAATTGTTTTTTTTTTTATGAAGAAGTCTTGCTTTATTTACTCTCATTAACAATTCTAATCAAAACGTGTGAGATATGCGATTTCTGTTCGATACTTTATCAGTAATCCGTGGAACGAATGAAGCAAAGGTACAAAATATCACCCACGTCATCGTCGTCTTTTCTAAAGCCAAGTAGTTATTAGAGAGATATAGACAGACAGGAAATTAATTTTTCCATCAAAAATAGTATAATGTCGCAAGACGCCGCGTGTTTAGTATCGTAAACAACTAATGATAGCCGCGTGATAATTTCTCTTTCCAAATTAGATAGATTTTTAGAAGAGCAAAAAAATAAACTGCAATTTTTTTTTAAATATAGGAACAATCAACGGCGCAATAGATAAATTAGCGCACAATGTTGAAATATTAATATTTATGAGTTAATTTCAATTCGTAAAAATTGCATAAAAGTGCCAGTCGCATTTTTTATTAAAAAAATATCAACATAAAATTAAGAACTACTGTAAAAGGTGGTGTGTATAATTTTCATTTAAAAATTATGCAGCGTACCTTCCTTCAAGTCCTTCGGCACGGAAGCAGACTTGATTATTCCTCGTTGAATGCCCCTCGAGATGCCTGTTCTAGGCGCGTCCTTTGAGATATCCCTTGACTTGTTCGGCTCCTCTTCGGCGAGGATGCCGCCCTGAGAGGTCTCCTCCTTGGAGTGGATTCTCCCGTTCACGATCGTCCGTTTCTTGCTTGTCGTCGTTTCACCCGCAGCGCGGTTATTTCGAGCAAGTTCGCCCCTAGAGGCGACGATGCTGTAGTTGTTAACCACACAACAGGCAGTACTCGATGTGCACTTCACGCGTCTGCGTGAGCAGTTTTCTTGCCACCTGGCTTGCTCCTTCAAGATCCGTTGGATTTTCTGCCAGACGCAACGAAAGGACGGAAATTAATCTCTAGAGAGAAACTGAAATTCATTGATCTGTTCTAGCTTGCGATTCATCTAAATTTCATTTGACCGTAAACTCAATAATCCATCCAATAATGCAACCGATAAGCTATATATTTGTTTATCGCCTTACTTAAATTTGCAATTCTTTATTTAAATTAAATTAAAATATATTTCCATAATTGTAAGATCTCTGACAAGTTTTATATAATTTTTAAAAAATTTTAATGATGCCGACGAAAGTGGTATCCAATTAAATTTTGATAGAAGAAAATAGCTTTAATTAAATTATTAATTAGCAATTGGTTTATTGTTGCAACTCAAACTTTTATTTTTAATTGTATAAACGATAGCGATTATAATTATACGATTATAATTATCAAACGCAAGTTGATTTTGCTCAGATTTTCTCCGCACGATAATAATCACCACTCTATTTACGAAGCACGTCACAAACGACGCATGTCGCCGAAGATTCTAAAATTTGTCTCATATTTGTCCCACGCACATCACGCATTGTTCACCGGACGTCACGAGTATCGGAAAAACGATTGACAAAATTACACGTACTCTAAAGAGAGATGTTATCCTCTCGTAATCTTGTCTTTGACGTCGATCGACGCACTACTTCCGACGACTAAATCGGCTCCAGTCGCACGATCCTTCTCGGGAAACGACTCGCGCCTTCCTGATGGGCTTGCAAGTCGTACACGCGAGAGAGTTCTAGCCGGCTCTCTTTAAACGCGCTATTTATATGTCAGTTAAGCTCTCGCGTCGGTCGGTGTCTCGTGTGCGCACGTACACATATGTGTTATTAAAACATGACTATAAGTCACGTTTACGTCTTTCTTAAACGTTTATAAGCATTTCGTACAGTTCATCTGTTGCGCGCTTATGCATCGTTAACACTTTCACGAATCATAAAATAGCCAATAAAAAAATTGCGATCCGAAAAACAGCCAAGATAAAAAACTGTAATCAAATCTTAGGCTAAGGACACATGGATGTTTTAACAATTAAACAGTAAACAAGCGATTTTTAAATGTGTGCTATTTTTAAGATGTTTAAAATAACTAATAATATCTAAATGATAAAAACAATTTCACATTTCAAAAGTTATACGATTTGCAATTGTGTTAAATTTATAATTCAAAAATACATAAATATTTAAACTTACTATTGATATTAATTATAAAATTATTGAAATTGCAGTGGAAAGAATTATTTTTTAATAGCGCATACAAAAAAAATTAGCGTTATTTTTGTATACGTTAAATATATTTGCGTTTTAAGCGTCAAGAATTGATCAAAATTGGGGTTATTACGAAAACGATTTATATCGCTTCGCTCACAGATGCCAATAGAGAAGTGTCTCGCTTATTGTATGCATCCACGTGTACCACGCACACAACTTGTCAACTGTCTTTCTTTTTTTACGGAATAATCACAATGTCCAACTTCGCGGCCGTTCAATGCGCGAGAGTCCGATACCGCGCGTCGACACTTTGCGGAGGAGTCGTGCGACCCACGAGATAGACTACTACTCTCGCTCTCTCGAGGCCGCGAGACGTCGCGCGACCGACTCGTCGATGATACGCGTCGACGTAATGAAAACGAGGATGCACGACAAGAGGGGGACAGAGAGCGAGAACTTACTTGCTGAGTGGTGGTCGGTTGTACAGTGGAGACAACGACGTTGTTGTCGCTCCTAGTAGTAACGCCGTCGGTGACCATGGTGGTGGTTTCATTGCCCGCCGCGAGTTTCACCCTATGACCGCCTACCATCGTCGAAGGTCGGAGCTCGGTAACCGGCTGCAAGAGATAGCAGAGTTTGCTTAAAAATTATATTACAATTACATTATATTATTGTACTATAAATATTTAGTAATAAGTGAGTTCGAGAAGAATTTTTTTGGCATTTTACAATAATTTACCATCTACGCCTATAAAAAAGAAAAAAAGGAACATAATTTTATTTGTTTTGTCTGCTTTTTTGCTTGATCCACTATTATGGAGTCGTAAAATTCAGCATGAAAAGAGGAGTACTTTATCAATCAATTAAAGATCGACGGATGACCATTACCTGGTTTAATCTAGATTTTTTTCTTATTGCTAGTCGACTTTTATGCTTGACCGAGAAATGTAATGATACTCTCTGGAAGCTGTAATATAAATTAAAACGCACTCACTGAGAGACACTTTTATCGGTGAGGAGCTCGAATCGGCACTCCTGTCACGCAAGCCTCGCGATTTCCGTTAAAGCAAGCTCGAATCGTTTCTTCTCTCAACCTACATTTCTTTTTATTATTCCACGATTCATCGAGAGAATTATATTCATTAAAAATTATGAGAAATATGTGACAAAGCTCGAATAAAAAATTCTTTTGATTTTACTAAGTTTTCATAGCTTCTTGTAATTAAATCAATTTTTTTATTAACATTGAAGTTTTGATACTTTTTTGTTATATTATATATATAAGTACCAGAATTACACACATATTCCAAAATATCGATTAAATCGAAAAGTGTATACCTTACTCTATCAATCAAAAGGAGGAATTTCATTTTTTGTTTATTTATTCAGCGTTTCTAATCAGACAAATGCTGCAGTTTGGACGAGAGCGTGCTTCTAGAAGTGAATTGTTCCCTTTTTTTTTCTTTCCGCACTCGTGCTGGCGCGCCGTTAACTTTACGACCGGCGGAAATTACTCGAAATCCGAGGCAAAAAGCGGGCAAGGCGATTCCAACGGTGAAGCCCATCTCACGGTGCTGGCGTAAAATTATGCTTTCATCTCCCCAACGTGCGCACAGCTATTTCGGCGCCGTTATAGCGCACGGTATAATCCTGTCAACGTGTAGTCCCCCTGGCCATTCGCCAATATTTTGAATTTCCCAATTTACACCAGTTTATCGATGCTTTTCAAAGAATTTCGCGACATTTTCAAAGCACAGTTCCTTCTCGAAGCAACGAAAACGAAACATCTGAACAAAGAAGTAACTTCACTAAAGACTGTGTACAAACTTCTTTTTTTATTACTTCAAGATTTTTTCTTTATTTGAGTGTAAATAAATCTTACATCAAGTTTAATACAATAATTATTTAAAAATAAATTAGAAGTTTGAATGTCAAAGGATTGTGTAAAAAGCGCGCAATTACTTTTTGCTGGGAAACCTCTGATTTTGAAGTTGTCAAACAGTTCACAATTTCCGAAAGCTACATGTAACTTATTGGGGACGAGGATTTGTGAGAAAGCGAAACGATAATTAACACGACGGGTGTATAGGAGGTAGGAGGCCCTGAGATTTCGCTTCGTTACGTGAGTTGAGCGAAACTGGCACGAATCGACTATGGTAAATGAGCGCGGAGTTATCGCCCCAGTTATCGAGTTTTCGTCGCTCGATTCCGTCCGTGTTTGCTCTTCCCTTGAACAGACCCGTTTCATATCCAAACAATTGCGTCGCTCTGTGAAAGCTTCCGTCGGTGTCGGCGCGAGCGTACGCCGTACGGAACACTATCGGATGCTGTAAAATACGACACTCTCCCTCGTACATCTATCCTATGTGAACGGTGGTCCTCTACGAGATGATCAATGGCCGGAAGAACGATCGCCGTTCGTCACAAAGAGAGAAAAAAAAGAAGCTCTTGTCGCGCGCAACAAATTTCACTTGACATTTTCCCGACGCTGACATTTCGTACGGACTATTCTTGTGCCACGAAAACCGCAGAGTCGCCGCGGGCGTGATAAGAGCCGCTGATTAATCAAAGCGACGGAACGCTATCGTGAAACAAGATTAGTTGCGGCGGCACGTAAGTGTCATATCTCGACAGTTTGCGGCTAGAATTTCAATAATATGACGTCAGTCAAAACTTCACGTTGTATCAGCTTAAAACGTGCCTTTTGTTCAGCTCATTAGACACTGCTTAATTTTGCATAGACACACGCTAAAAAATACTGTTTATATTATCGCAATTCAATATATATAATTGCTCCCTTTTCTTTCCCTCAGAATTATAACTAGAATTATTACAAAAGTAATAACTCCACATTAATATGTGTTTTACTTTCATCAAAATAATTATTAAATTTCTCAGTAAATATGTAAAACCATGTCGAAGTAAAAGTGCAATTTTCTCCGTCGGCCGCGTAATTCGGAATTACATCTCTTCTCTTAAAATTAACAAAAATGAAATGCGTCAGACGTACGCAGATGCACTTCGAGTGCGCTCACGGAGTAACAAAGCGAGCGATAGGGAATATTCGTGGATTAATGCAGCGGAATGTCGGCCCTTGCATTCGACATTGGAATCGATATCCCCGATGCACGCGGGGGCTGATTTATAAACGCCGAGCGTCGTTTCGCCCGCTGTAACTCCATCAAGGAAACGTCAGTGATCAGCGCCAGGCGGAAACTCCGTCTGATTGACTTTCAGCCGTGCGTGCTTTCTGACATTGATTGACCGTATGGCATGAGAACTCGTCTCTCTGGCAGCCACTACAGCATACATCTACTCGAAAGCTTGGAGCGCCTATCTGTCATTAATCGCCTCCGTTTTCACTAGCGTTTCCACGAAAGACGCGATTTGGCGTCCCGGAAAATTAGCCGGAAAATTGTTTTAGATAAAAGGATAAATAAGAAGAAAGTATCTTATATTCGTAACGCTTTAAAGTTTCCAATTTTAATTAAAAAATATTGATTTAAGAATAAAATTTAAATTAGATATTTAAATTTATAAAAATAATAATGTGTGCGTCATTATACATGGAAAATATATGAAAGAAAGCATCTTTGAAGGTTTAACAAGAAATTCAAGCCGTATTAATTATATCAAGAAATCTAATATTTTAGTATCAAGAAGACAGTCACATATTTAAAAAAAAAAAAAAAAATAGA